AGTAAGCACCTGCACATGGTAGGCCACTGATAAATATGTGCTGAATGGATAAAAAAGGTTTGAGGACAGGAGGGAAAGCCACAGAGTCTGGCCAGGGTTCAAGGTCGCCATGAACAGGATACACTGGGGTCTCAGAGCAGGCTGGCCCAAGCATGGCAGGGAGAGGTGGACAAAGCAATGCAAACTCCTCTTCTCCTCTTCCCTCCTTCTGTGGGCAATGCCGTGCCTCTGCCTGCCTCCCCGCATCTCATTCTGTGACCTTGACCAAGGGAGAGGGGACTCAATGAGCCTTGAGGCCCTCCAGCCTCTGGCTGCCATGGTTGCGAGGCGATGGGGTGCACTGGCCGAAGCAAAGTGAAGACTCAAACCCAGGCCCACCTTCCCAACCTCTGAGTGTCTAACATCATCCAGACACCTTACTGACTGTAACATCAGACTAGAGTTAAGAAGTAAACACTTTTCAGTCCTAGGCTGTGACTTACCGAAACCTGTCTTCTCACCTTGATCCTCCATACTGGCATTGTGCTGGGCCCAGGGAAGGTGAGAACATGCCTTCTTTCTGGGTGACCTCCAGGCCAGCCTTTAGGTGCCATCAGATTAAGTTATAGGGGGGCTGGGGTGGGTTCCCAGAGACATTCCGCCACTGGGAGTTCCTTAAGGACAAATCTACCTCGTTTTCCCTGGAGTGTAGCATAGGACTGGGCTTGCAGTGGGTGATCAATAAATGTTTGGCGAGGGAGCAAGCAAGGGAGGAAGTGTCTCTGCCCTAAGGAAGCTTTTAGCCCGATGGCAAACACACAGTTGACTGCCTGGCCTTCAGGGTATAAGCACCCTAATGATCCCTGTTTGCAAATGAATAAAATGGCATTAATCACGACAATAATCACAAAATGTGTCTCAAGTGCCCATTATGTGCCAGGGACTAGACTAAGCATGTTCTGTATTTTACCTCATTAGGTTCCCATAACCACCTGTTGAGGTCAGTGCTTTCATCAGCCCCCGTTCTATGGACAAGAAAATTGAAATCACACATCTAGGGAGTAGCAGGGCAAGGAACAGATCTCAGTCCTGCTGCCTGAGCATCCAGACTCTCCCAATACTCATCCCTGTCTCCAAGGGCTGCTCTGTGCACCACCCTGTGCTGGGTGCTAGGGGGCAAAAGAGAAGTATGGGGACAGCCTCGCCAGGCAAACAAGCAATACACTTAGATGATAAAACCACCTGCAGCCTGATTTCTGATCCTGGGGGCAGGCAGGCCAGCGAGAGCACCAGGAGCCCTGGGAGGTCCAAGACAGAGGGCAGGAAATGTGGGAGAAGTGTGGGGTCTGGCCTGTCTGGGCAGCGCTATCTCGCCCTTGTTAGAGTTGGGATAATGAGGCTCAGAGAGGACAGTAACGCCGCTAGTAAGAGTCTTAATTTACTCTTTGCTCTGTGCTACATCATCTCTTAAATCCAAAGAGGCTTCCTAGAGGTGGTTTCAAGAAAAGGTGAGCTTTTGTAGCTAAGAGAACAAAGGAAACTGGGAGGGCAGGCTGGGGGCAGGGAAGGGGAGAGCACAGGGCAGTGTCTTTCTCAAAGACCAGGGCCTGTCCTGCCCCACCTCCCAGGACTCCCTCCCTGGGTCTGCTTTGGAAACACGTGAGTTATGCTCAAATGGCCCTCCCACCAGGACCCCAGCCTGGTGCCCAGGGGACCACTATGTCCATGGCTTCTTTTAAGCCCAACTCGGCATCCACGGCTTCTTCTCCAAACACTTCTTCCTACTCGAATGTCCTTCCTTCCCACATCGGGGCAGGGGGGAGTGGGGGGCATCGCACGTGACGTGCTCAGAAGGGTACAGGCTTTGACTCACCCAGGCTTCGGTTCTGGTTCCCGCTGAGCCGCTGACCGGCTGAGGGACCTGGACCCCAGGGCCTCACTCCTTCCTCCAGAACAGAGCTGGAGAGAGCTGGGTGCCCCATTTGTCATGAGCCATAGACAGCACTTGGAAAGGACCCTGGCACTTAGTAGGCCCTCAGAAAGGGGAGCTATTACTGGGTCCACAGGACCCCTCGGAATTCCCAACCCCAGGCAGCCCTGGCACCTTGAAAAGATGCCACTGAGGTGGGACCCAGCAGAGCCACTTCCGCTCCACACGCTGGAGCACGGGGAGGAGGAAGAAAGAAGCTGGGTGTGGGGTGTGGCAAATGGCTTCATGGAAGGCCAAGCAGGTTGCAGGGCAGCTACTGGCACCGAGGGGTCTGCCTTACCACCAGCTCTGATGTCCCAGGAGGACAAAGCCAGATCTGTCTCCCTGCTGCAGCTGGAACAGGCAACCCTCCCCTCCCCACCCCCGCCCCGACCAGGGGGCAGCTATCTTCTATGACATGTGGGGATCTCCCTCTGCTAGGCTTGCAGGAACGCCACAGTCCCTTTCTGTCATGGCAGTCTCTGCCAGGTGCCCCGCTAGTGAGCAAGGCTCCAGCCTGGACACCCAGGCAGAGGAGAGGAGCAAGGAGGGGCCACAGCCCTGGAGTCAAAGGGCTGGGACCCAGAGCCAGTTAGAAAAGGCTGCTGGAGCCACTGCTATGGGCCTTAGGGGCATAGTGGCTTGGCCACATTCTCCAGGCCTTCTGGGGCCTCCGGTGTGGAGCACAGGCCAACTGCTCACCGTCTCCCGGTAAGGAGCCCACAAATGGGACTGAACTTGTACTACAGAACTTAAGATTTAGGGCAGACCTAAGAAAGCCCATCCTGGCTTCACACACAGGAGGTAGGAAGCGATCCACTGCAGGTGTATTCCTGCAGGCTCTGGGCTCCACGAGGACAATGTCAAGGTTGAAAGCTCTGCAGCCAAACTTCCTGAGTTCACATTCTAGTTCTGCCGCTTCCTGACTGGGTATTGTTGGTCAAGTTGCTTCACTACTCGGTGCCCCAGCTTCTTCGTCTATAAAAAGAGGATGAAAAGTCTCCTCTCCATAGGGTTGGGGTGAAGAGTATATAAATTATGTGAAGTGCTTAGTCAGTGCCCAGCACAGAGGGAGCTCTCTATACGCTTTAGCTCTTATGATTTTCCCTCCACGATCTCTTCCTTCAGGCCCACTCCCAAGCTGAGAAAACCAGAGGGTCCTGTACCCAAGGCTGGGGCAAGGGGGATCTGGAGTCCTGGTAGATGGATGTTGGTTTGGGGAATGAGGCAGAGGTCTCCCTGAACAAATTGACAGGGAACCTTGCACACCAGGGCTACCAGCACTCAGGGGAGGAGAGGAGCCCAGATATCCAGGGAGGACCAGGGGCTGCCCGAGAGTCCGGAGAAGCAGGAGTAAGGACCAAACCCAGCCGAGCGCTGGGGCCACCTTACCAGTCCCATTGGCCCTATCTCCCACTTTCCCTTCCCCCTTGGTCTTTGGGGCGAAGATCTGTGCTGGTTCAGGCCTGGAAATACCAGAAATACCAGAAACTAAAGTCGTCCCTCTTTGGGCGGCCACAGCACAAAACCAACCAACATGATCCTGTTATTAGCCTCGATTAACTTGGAGAGGATTCCACCTCAGGCCGTCGAGGTCCCGTGGCTCCAGCCAAGGCCCCCGATGCTGGCCCAGAATGGCCAAGCCAGGACAGAGGGTGGGCAGTGGAGAGTGGGTGGTGGGCGGTACCCCCGGTTCAAGGGCGGAACACAGAACAGGTTGTCCGGAGCCACCGGGGCCTGAGCCGCCCCCCACCCCAGCGCTCGGCTTCTGCTGCCTGTCCACAGACGTGGGCACAGAGGAGGTGATTGTTTCCATCTGACCACGGCAACTGCTCCCAGGGGCAGCCAAGAGCACAGGCCTGGGTGTCACGGTGGTAATTGCCAACCACGGGGCCAAAACCTGCCCCCTCCACTCCTGCGGACACAGACACTCCAGCAAGAGACAGAAGGACAGTCACAGGCACACAGAGGCCCTCACAGAACCCAGAAGAGGAGCAGGGCCTGTCTGGTCACACACCCAGCGAGCCACGTGCACGTGCACTACACGCACCACCAGCACCACCCACAGGCCCAGAAAGAGGCTCCGCAGCAGCTACACCCTGAGGCACAGTTCCTAGGAGGATAAAAACACCCATTCAGGCAGGGGGCGAGGACAGGCACCAAGACAGGACTGCTAAGAAGTCAGGGGGCAGAAGGGGAAGAACAGGCAGCAGAGGCAGACGGACCTGTGTTTGAGTCCTGGTTCTGTCACCTCCTTGCTGGGTGACTGGGAACAAATCGCTTCCTCTCCCCAAAGCCGCACTTTACCATCTGTGAAATGGGCACAAATACGGCTCCCCAGTAGCAGGGGGCATCCTCTCCTCAGCACTGGTCCTGGTAAACAGTAGGGACTGTCACTAACGATTTACTGTCACAGGGGTGGAAGGAAGCAAAACGGCCTCAGCAGAAAGGGCTGGGGCGGGTTGATAGTGCAGGGGGACCCCCTCGGGGCACGGGGGGCAGCTGGGGGGTAGGCATGAATAGAATGCAGGTTTTAAAAGAAGCCAGACCTGGGCTGGTGGTCCGGCTCTGCTGTTTCAGGGCCCTGGCAGTCTCGGTAAGTCGGCTCCGCTCTGTGCACCTGTCCTGTCTGTCTCCCCTGATGATGTTAATGTTAACCACGCGCCCTGGAGAGAGGCTGTGACCACGGTGTCCTCAGTCCAGTCGGGGCACTGCGGCTGGACTGTCTGCCTGCTCAGCCATGTGTTGTGTGACCCGGGACGAGGCGGCTGATCCGTCCATAGACTCCTTACCTCACGGGTGCTGTGCATACGAGCCGATCGGCGCACGAGCAACGGCGAGCAGCGCCTGGGACGCAGCAAGCGCAGTCGGTGGCTGGTCCGGGCAGAACACACACACACACGGCCAGGGTACCTCCTAGCCGTCAGGCAGGCCTGCCTCCCCGTCTCCACGTGCCTGCCTCGAGGGGCTCCCAGGTACCACTCCCCACAACAAAGGAAGGAGCCGGGCGGAGCCCCGGGACCCAGCCCTGCCCTCCCTCTGCCTCCCACAGGGACCCGGGAGGCGGCCTTCGTGTACGCCATCTCTTCAGCAGGTGTGGCCTTCGCGGTGACGCGGGCATGCAGCAGCGGGGAGTTGGAAAAGTGTGGCTGTGACCGGACGGTACATGGAGTCAGCCCGCAGGGTAAGTGTGGGAGGTGGGGTGGGGTGGGGTGGGAG